TCTCGAGCGAGAAGTGCGAAAGCAATAAGTAAATAAACATATACGCGGGGCGACCCACGCGAACGTCGGCAGCTAGACTAGCTGCGTGCCGAGGGAGACGTCTTTTGCACGAGCGAATTGTATCTGGATCATTTGGTGAAAATGCGTACGCTCTTATCCCGAAGAAGGGGAACAAAAAAGGTTAGACCAACGACGTCAGCTTGACGCTTCGAGCGGCGCGTGTCTTTCTCCTACTTGACGGGTGACTCCGCGAAATCTTGCATTTCTATGTTCTCTGGGTCGTTGATCGCGAATCTCTGAAGTCGGGTTTTAAAGATTCAAAATGGCAGGTCCGATACGGCTGCCATGTAGGAGCAAGTTAGGAGCAAGTCTGAGTAAAATGTGAATCGGACGCGCGATATACAAAAGTGTTCCGAATCGTGATAATTACGAGTTTATCAAAAAATCTGGCGTGCGAGAAATTGTAGAAGAAATATGTATCTTGACGTTTGAAGTATATTCACCGTATAATTCTCAGTCCGAAATACTTTCCGAGAAATTATATTATTTATTACAAGTCGCTTTTTCAATTTTATTTATTCATAGATAATTAAAAGTGAACTGTCTGAAGTATAAAACATATGAAGGAAGCAATTAATAGAAAAAAATGTGAGGTCATACTTGTTTTCATTAGACTGAAGTTTAACGAGACTAATTTTCATTAAACTGTAAATAGCGCGTCGTAAAGACGAAAAGGGAAAAGGTGGTGAGGATACTTACCGCTGCGGCGCACACAAAGGGTTAATAAAGTTTACTCGCTTGAGGTGTCAAAGTCAGCCCCGTTTTTCGCGAAAGTCTTCGAGAGAGGGACGAATGAGAGGGTAATTTCATGAAGAAGTCAAGAGAACGGAATGGTTAAAATTTATCGCGCGCTATATGTGCGGGGATATTGAGCTGTCGAGCCTGACGTGGGCCACTCCGTGTATATAAAATGAATAAAGACGTCACTCTCTTTCGTCTGGACGGTCGGTCATTCTATTTCGAACGGTCCTTCTTCATTTTCAGCGGCCGTCACGCTCGCACAATGATGGCTGTAATGAGTAAATTTCCCGTATCGGCTGACGCCAACGGGCTCCTCGTAAACAGCGCGATACGGATGCACAGCAGCGCGAAGTCTTCAGCCGCAAGCCCGCTGCGAAATCGATCTCGGCAATTTTTTGATCTTAGTCACAATGTTGGTAGGCCTTAACCGCCTTTTGCCGCTCGACTTTTTTTATAAGTGTTTTAAGAAGAAAATTTGAGTTTTTTTGAACTGAGACTATAAATAGTGATAACCAAGAGAAATATCAGAATTTTACATTGGTTTCTTTTATCGTTCGTTTTTTGTTTATCGGTAAAATATGACTTGGATCCTAAAAGCATATACGAAATGAGCAACTTATACAGAGAAAAATGGAGGGTAATCTACACGACATAACTACTCTGATAGTCAGCTTGACATTTTTGGGCTGAAACTTTACTGTATTTGTGAGTGAAGTTTATCATTCAGAGCGTCAAGTTTACTATTTCAGAAGAATATCTTATAGATCACTATTTAGATAGTGAATCGTCCCTTCATTTTCCGCCGCATAAAAAACTGTAGACCACCAGGTTTCACGAAAATAGGTTGATTTCTTGATTTTCGTGTCCACCATATTGGATTCGGCATTTTAAATTTCTATATTCCTTTAATTTCACATTTTGCATCTGAGAAAGCTTCCAAATGCATAAAATTATAACAGATACCGATCTATTCATTTATGGTGCACTTCTAGATGTCAGTAACAATGCCTGCTTGGAATTTGACGAAACATTTTTCATCATTAAGACCGAGCAAAGAAAACGAAAAAAAATATCTCCTTTTCTGACTAAGCTGTGGGTTCTTAAATCCTTCTGGTAATTATAGTTACCAGTAGGCGTTAAACTAATCCAGATACGTTCCGATGACTGATCGGCTGATCGATTATCAGGATAATAAGTAAAAAGAATTCCCATCCATTTCTCTATCGAATATTGCAAAATTGCACGATTAGTAGCTGAAAGCAAGTTTGCAAACAGAAATAGTACACGGCCGCGTGACGTCCAAGCGTGATCAGCTGATCAGTCACGGAAGTCAGTTCAAGACCTGCCAACCTCATAAGCAAAAAACCAACGTTTCCGAAAGCGATTACGCGGAACAGGCCGCGAGATACCTCGGGCGGGCTCGAGCGCACGCGCGCGCGCGCGCGTCCTGCGGCGCTCGCGGATCCCGCCAGGACCTGAGATATTTCGTCGGGTTACGTCATCCCTTTGTGAAAACGCGCGAGGTCGTCGCGCATCAAGTCAGACAACACGATCGACATGGACGCACCTCCGTTCTCGCGCATCGCGCTCCGCACGCACTTCGCGCGGTCGATCACCCCTGCTGATCTCGCGCACGCCGGCGCAGCCGACGATAAAGGCGGTCGTCACGTTTTCGCGACGTCAGGAATAAGAATTAGCCCGTCTTATCTCATCCTCTTCGGAGGAACACTCGCGCGCGCGCGCGCGTTGACGCACCGCGTGCGCCGCCGGATTTTCGTCGGAAACAATGTGCGCGGGCTTCCACAGACGAGCTCGTGTTCGCGTTCCTGGAAGACGATATTGCAGCGTGCCGCTTCGCGGAAGATGGCCTGAATCACGAATTTTGCCGTCGGCGCGAAGGAGACGGGCGAGGGAGCGGGTGCGGGGGGGGCGAAGGGGGACCGCGTTTGACACATGTCACCCACGTGTTCGTTACGGAATTCACGCGGGCGCTCGCTCGCCGGTGACGTGCGCGTTTCTAATTCCCGAAAATTGACGAGGCGAGCGCGGGGCACAAACGGGCCGAGCGGATAGCAGCGGCCGTCGACTTTCTCCCCGATAATGCGATTTACGTCAACGGGCGTATCGAAAGCGCACCGCCGATGACCGGAATTGCGCGCGAGATAGCGACGGTAATCGGCGGGTTGAGGAGCGCCTCGAGCGCGGCGAGACAAACGCCGCGACCAGCTAGGACGAGGTCCACTTTCCGACGATTTATGACAGGCCTGTTCGTGCCCGGCTCAACTGAAAACGGTGGCACTCGGATCGTCTTAAGTTTATCTTCAGATGCTCCGTAACGAATGAAACGTCTGTGAAGCGTCTGAAGGTAAACTTCGGACGAAACTTCAGTTTGCAAGATCCGGCTACGAATATCCATCAGCTTTGAATTGGCTTTAGAGCGAAGTCATGATCGCGGATGGCATAAATCATCCCGAGATCGTCCTAGGTGGTCCTCGGGACCTCCTGGAGCGCCCGTCAGAATGCCGTCAGGGTGATCCCGGGACGTTTCGCGCTGTGGAGCGATCCCATGAGTCTTTTCTCCTCCGATGTGAATTTGTGAGAGTTGGACACTTGAAAGCGCTTTGAAATTGGAATTGGTTCCCGCCGTTTCGCAAGTTCACCCTGGAGAAAAAGGTTCACGATGCGGTTTCCTGGTACTAATTTAACTCTTTCGTCCCTGAATATCCTCCAGCTCCTTCTGTCTGAAAATTCTGTTCTTCATTCGATTGCTGAGATGAAAATATGTTCAAGCCGGTAGAGAAGCCAACTGTAAAAGTGTTTATGGCGTACCACTCGAGACGAAAGGATTAATTGAAAAAAAAAAAAATACAAGTCTAGTCTACGACAACGGAGGACTCTGAGGATCGTGAAATCGCAGATGCTGAAAGCGATTCTTTCTCTCTTCCTCTCTCGGGGCGAAATGTGGGACGCCGCCCGAATCGTTCCGTTTCACGCTTCACGCGCGGAAAACGCGCGAGGCTCTTAATAGGATCTATCCTGATTCACTGCATCGCGATCGTGGATCGCGTCCGGAAATGAATCAGCGATGCGCGCGGCGTCTCCGGCTAGAAATTCCAGAAAGCTCGTTGTTTCTCACCGCGAATGATAAATCGATTTGCGTCAAATTCCGAAGATATTAAGCGAATCCGGTATCGAATCATCCGTCGGACATCCTGCGGCCTGCTGACTCATCGCGCAGAGGACTCAAGCGCGCGTGGCTTCTTCAGGCGAAGATTTAGGGCCCGCGCAGGGTCCTAAATCACAAACACGGAAAATCGAAGCGAATTATTTATTAAACGCAAGCGCGGTCAGAGAATTGAGCGACACAAATATTCCGGAATATTTTCGGGCCGAATAATCAGGGAAGAATGATCAGTGTTGATCCGTTAAACCGTTATAAATCTAATAAATGAATGGTTTATTTCGTTCACCTATAGAATTATTTTAATAATTATTATAAACTTGTTAATATTATTTAAATTAACATTATCAACCTCCTTTGACAATATTACTTTTAATAATAAATTAATCTTATTATTTGTATTTATTAATATTTCAAGATTACCTCTATTCTTATTTATTATTGTATTAAATATGATCAACACCGTTAGGTTTTTCCCTTACAAGCCAAACCACGGGGAGAAAAATCGATGTCTCGCTCGCACCCTATCGATAGGTGCGCGCGCGCGCGGCCCGTTGACGCAACTTTCGTAAACGCGCCGTCGGCCAATTTCTCGTGGATCGCCATTCCGGTTACAATCTAAATTCGCGAAGATAACGGTATCAACGCGCCTTCAAATTGAAAGCGCTTTGACGTAAACGCTCGCGGCCGCGAGAGCGCACGGTCACGCAATTACGTCGATAGGTTAGCCAAACGAGAGATAGGGGAGCCACCGTTATCCAGCCTCGAATGTGGAAAATACGCGCGTACGCGTACTTGGTTTCCCTAGGCGAGGACTCGCCAGCAATCGGACGCGCGTGGAAAAAAAGCCCCGCTTCATTCGGCCCCCCGTACAGAGGCTCTCTTCTCTTCTGACCCGAACGCAAATTGCCAACGACTTGCGCTCCATCGCGTACGTACGTACCCAACGACGGCTCAGCGTCGGTGAGGCTCGTCCGTTAGAGGGAGGGAGAGCGCGCCGATAAAACTACATTCGCGTTCTCTCGTCGCTCAGTGTCGCTCGGTTGTACACACGAACGCATCGCGCGGTGACGCGCGGTCGACGGCGGCGACAACGCGGAGCGTCGTCTCGTTGCACGGCGCGCGTATAGCAGTGAAGTTACACGCTGAAGCGTCCGGGCGATCGAGATAGATAGAGATAGAGCGCGCGCGAGAGAGCTGACGTTGACGTAGAAGAAGGAGAAGAAGGCGTGAAGCGCGCAAGAGAGCGAGAAGAGAGATATGAGGCCGCGCGAGGGGAACAGAGACACGGGAAGTTCGGCGCGGTGAGCGGAAGGAGACAGCTCGGGCGGCGCGCGCGCGCGCGCGCGACGGAGCGAAGGCGACAGCGCTAAGCGGAAGGCTGTGAGGAGGAGCGAGCGAGAGGCGTACGGGGGAGGAAGAATGCGGCGCGAGCGTGAGAGAGAGCGACGAACGTGAGCCCCGATCGGCGCGCGTGCGCGCCGCGCGTCACAGCGGCGGGGCGGCTTGGTCGCCGACTGCGCGGCGCCCCGCGCGACATTCGTCAAGCCTGCGGCTCTTGCGGTGGTCGGTTCGCTCGAAGGAGGTTAGGTTCGACGTACGCCAGTGGACGACGACGATCCTCAGAGTGGTCCGCGCGCGTCACGCGTACACTACGACTGCCGTCTCTCGCTGCGTCTCCATATCTACGCGAGGAGTGCCGGCGAGGCTGACTCCTCTCCGCCGGCGAGTATCGCGCGTGCATGTGGCATCGACATAGTGTGCTCGCTACAAACGGATGAATGATGTCAAGCAGCGTGTGTCACGCGCCCCTGCCAGCACGAATGGAAGCGTTCACCACGAGGTTCTGCCTGCGTGCGGTCGATCAGTATGAGCGGCTTCTGCAGACTCGCTTCAACAAGGTATGCGCGCCCACCACCGGCCGGTCTCGGCTCTCCCTCTCTCTCTCTTTCTTTCTCTTTCTCTCTTTTTCTCTCTCTCTCTCTCTCTCTCTGGCCTCTGCGCCGTTTCTCCAGCCTCGGTCTTCTTGTCACTTCGACGCCCTCGGCAGGGCGTGGAAAGCGCGTGGAAAGAGCCGTCTTTTTCTACGCCGGCGATTGCCTTGCCGGCCTTTCACGGAAGTCGGAAAATCGCCGAGAGAGAGAGAGAGAGAGAGAGAGAAGAGTACTTTCTGCCGGACGGCGAGAGCGGAAAATTGACACGTAATTCGGCTAGAGACACTGCAGGTCGCCGGCGGCGCCGGGGACTCCGGTGGAATGGAATGCGAAATATGCGATCGATGCGAGCGAAACTCACGTATACAGACTTGCGTGTACACACACATACATATACGTACACATATATACGCAGCTGTGTGTATTTACTTTAGATTTGTATTGCGGGCGCAACGACTCGCGAGCGTGCGTCGAGCGTCGAGGATTCGTGTTGGGAAAACGTCGTCTCGCGCGACAAGCCACCCTTTTGCTCGAGTAGTCGGACGAGATGACGAACCAATTGGCTCATCTCCAGATCAGCTAGGTATTGTCCGGCGACGGCTGCGAAAAGAAGACTCGACACTGCGTGCGCCGTGCAGCCTACGGTCGAATAATTCAACTACCCGCTTTCCAACGGAAGATCATTGACCCGCTGCACACGCACCCCACTTAGCACTGGTTGCGCGTCCATGATATTCCATCTCGCCTGGCCGAACGTAGCGCGTGTATCGCACCGTGTGCGACTCTGTTATGTAGAAATTCGTGTCGTCATCGTGCCGTCACGTATCTCTCTTCTGCCGTACGTTGTACCTGCGAGGCGACGACGACGATGTAGCGATAACGGCGCTGCCGCGAAAAATCACGACGCGCCGCGCCACGCCGCGCGAAACGCGTTGCTCGACACGAGGCGGATGTGTCTCGCTCGAGATTTCCGCTCGCGAGGCGGGAGATGAGCGAGCGGAAACAGACGTGTACGAAGGACACTCTTTCCGCAGGATTCTCTCGGAGCGCGTTCACACCTGGGGCAGAAAAAGCAGAAAGCAGCAGGAAGGCAGCAGTCAAGAGAGTGACAGAGAGAGAGAGAGAGAGAGAGAGAGAGAGAGAGAGAGAGAGAGAGAGAGAGAGAGCCTATCAGCGCCATTCGTGATTGGCTTTCTGCTTTTTGATTTTCTGCCCAGGTGTGAATGCACCCTCAGGGAGAATTCACACCTGGGGCGGAGAGGCAGAAAAGCAGCATTCAGCAGCTCAGAAGTCGCGCTGATAGTCTGTCTCTCTTCTCTCTCCGTCACGTTTGTGCGCCGGCTTGCGCCCCCGGCTACGACATGCTCACGCTGCTCGGGACATTTGCGAGAAAGTAGCGGGGGAAATGTTTACGTATGATGTAAACTTTCGTGCTTTCAACAACAAAGTTCGAAGAGATATCCGGGCGAACGCACAACATCGCCGTTGATTGTCGCGACGCGTAAATCGTCGTTTCGAATCGTCGGTGCGAATATATAATCCCTTGCAGTTGCGCGCGATATACCGTGCGGGCATGTCACACGGCAGAAATGGTCCCCGGATTAGACGCTGAAGATGCACCCGCGAGGGAAACAACAACACATCCTACGGATGTGAGCAGTCTCGGAAGCGGAGCGAGGATGTCGAGAGACGCGCGGCGAGCACGATCGCGAATAAATGGCTCGGACTCTTTCTCCGCGTAACACACGTGTCTTTCTTTTTATTTTATTTATTTACTTTTTATTTTATTTCTTTATTTACTGCGCGCTTGTAAAGTAATTATTTCTACGGCACGAAAGAGGGAGAGAGAGAGAGAGAGAGCAAGAGCAAGGGAGATAGAGGCACACACGCTCCTCGCACACGCGCAGACTGGTGCAACAGGAGGTCGTTCGAGCAGTGACGTATCTCATCGTTCTTTCGAGACTTTCCAACTTTTTCTCGCGTTTATTCAAGATCCTTGCGGGGTCGCCGCGTCCTTCCCGGCGCGGCTCGCGAGATATATATCGCGAAAGGCGGATGCAACCACGATCGTGAAGCGGCGGACGTAAATAACATTCTCGCGGAGTAACTAATCGCGACGATGGGGGAGGACCTTGGTACAGGATACGTGTGGAAAATAATGAGAGATTTTCCTGTTACGACGCACACGCTTCGCCGGTTATGCAGTCGTCGTCGTCGTCGTCGTCGTCGTCGTCGTCGTCGTCGTCGTCGTCGTCGTCGTCGTCGTCGTCGACGGTGTGTGTCCCGGACGCGTCAGGAGGCAGACGCGTGCCGCAGATTTGTCTTCGACGTGACGTAAAAAAAAAAAGAAAAAAAAGAAAGGGAAAAAAACAAGAACAGGCGAAAACGCAAATAACAAGTTATTGCCGGCGATAATTCATCGGGACTCGGATTATTCCTTCCAACCTCCGAGCGTGTCATTTCGTTAATTAAATGGGACGATAAAATAAATCGGTCAACACACACACACCTCTCTCTCTCTCTCTCTCTCTCTCTCTCTCTCTCTCTCTCTCTCTCTAAAGATTCGAAAAAAAGAAACAGGGAATAAGAGAGGGAGGAGGAATCTGCGAGATTTCGCGATCGATGGGCACGTCATGCGTTTCGCTGGGGCTGAGAAGGGGTTAAACGCGCAACCTAGTTTCAGCGAAACCTCGCGCGGCGATGCCTTACGATTTCGCGGAGCGATACGCGACTGCGAGATCGCTCGAGGCGCACGGTGACACAGTTTTAAGCGCGGATACACTTGTTACCGAGCCGCGGCGGCGGTGTGCCTCGCGCGCGCGCGAGTTCCATTTCACTCGCAAGCGCACGCTCGCTCGCTCGCTCGCTCGCGAGGGAGAGAGCGCCGAAGAGAGAAAAAAGCAGGAATCCGGAATAAACGAAACTCAGCGGCAGCGCTTGGTGCGACGCGCCCGTCGTTCCTCGCCCGTGTCGCCGTTTTTCTCACCGCCTCGACCTCGGCAAATTTGTTTCTTTTTCTTTCTCTGTTTTCCTTTTTTTTTTTTTAACACTCGGCCGGGGAGAGACGCGCACGGATGAATGAACGAGAGAAGCTTGTGCTTGCGTTTCTCGGCGGCGTAACGACTTGCCGAAAGTCAACGGGTGAGACCACTTATCGCGCATCTGCACGCACATATGACACACACACACACACACGGCGCAACGTTGTTTCGCGCGCGCGCGCGCAATTAACATTCATTAACGCTTGTTTTCCTTTCTGAAACGTAGGCATGTAATTTTAGCTCCCTGTAGGTGTGTTCCTCGTCGCCATGTTCCCAGCCGCAGTTTTTCACGAATCCTCTCGCCGCGTCTCGCTACTTCCTCCTTTTGCGGTGGAAACGGCGAAAGAGAGAGAGAGGGGGGGGAGAGGTGGGAGGACTTGGTAGAAACAATTGCTTTTGTTCTTCTCCTCAAGTATATCGCGATTCGCAATCAACGTAATATCTGCAGTTTCCCGCCGGGAAACGTTGAACCCACGCGGGCTCGTCTCTAATTGGCGCGCGCGTAAATAATAACGCGTCGTTATCTCTCGCTGTCGATAGCAGACAAAACCTCGGCGTCTCAATAAGCCCATGGCGATCGCGCCGAGCGCGACTACGAATCGGCCCCACGGCGGCGCGGCGGCGACACGGGTGCAGCTCGAATAAAAGTATTGACGTCAGTAGGCTGCATGTGAAACGCGATCCGTATTTACGAAACGATCGCGCGCGCTTCGACTTCTTTCCGCGTTCTGTCGCTCGGCACGCGCGCTCTCTTCGAACGCTCTCTTCGGCGCGTTTCTTTCGTCGCTGCTCCTTTTTTTTTTTTTCCACGTCGCCTGGCTGCTTAATGAGAGCCACGGATATGTCCGTGGCGACGGCGGCGGCGGCGTTCGCCGGTTTTACGCCGGGGACGAACGATGTTGCGTTTCTGCCGCAGTCATTTGTCGACTTGTATTTTCAGCCGTTTTACAACCGAATGCCATGCACTCGCGCGCGCGCGACCGACCGACAGGAGACACGAGCCACCGATATGTATATATATATATATATATATATACACACACGCATATATGTATGGCCAATAATGAACGGAGGCCGAAATCACGGCCGAATAACGCCGCCCGCCGCGGACCTTGCCGCGGAGATTAAAATGAATGGCGTATCGCGAAATCGAACGTCCGCGTGGAGGAGCGCGATAACGACGCGCGAATAATAATAAACAGCCTTCGCGCGAGAAAGTAATAGTACACAGTGTATACCCTCCCCGAGCCGCGAGAGCCGAGGATCCTTTAGCGACGAGCGAGGAACACCGCCGTCGCGCGTCTCGCTCGCCGTGAGAGAATACAATTCCGTATCGATTCCCCGGTTCTGGATGACTGAGATTTCGCGCCAGGCGAAGTGCCCCCGAGACGACGAGTGTTACGCACTATCCCGGTTGGATTAAATTCTTAGTAGGCTTCTCTGGTTGCAGCCCTCGAGCAAGGAGCAAACGAGGTTGAGCAATCATGACTCGACGGGCAACAAGGAGCACCGTCGCCAGAAGGATGGGTCCACCAGCGGTAGCAGCGGCAGCAGCAGCAGCACCTACAGTGCCTTCCGTCAATGGCGACGGAGCACCTCGATGGGCTCCCACAACAGCCGGTCCAACAGCACCGGCTCCAGGTCGTCCGGCTCGCTGGCCAAACTGCCGAATGACCCGGCCACCATGCGAAAGATGGAGCAATTTCCCCTGGTCCTGTCAGACGCAACGATGCCGGACGAGGACCTGTCGCTCAAGTTTCTCGCCCTGGTACGTACCAGTCGCGTCTTCATCTTGTATTCGCGTTCGTCCCTCCCGGAAGAGACTGCCGTTGACGATTGAGACGCGCTGCGCCGCTTACAGAATGCCTTGGATCTGACGGCGCCAGCCAGCGACGTTCTCCTGAAGAACCGGCTCAAGTCATGGTTTCAGCTGTCGGGGCACCCTGATGGCTTCGCTCCTGCGGGACCCGGCACGGTTTGGAAGCGAAGAACAGGCGGCGCTGAGAACACTGAGCGCGTCGTCTACGAGACCCTGAGCAAGGACGAAGCATTGCGGGACTGTATTCCGAGGTACCCTGAACTCTCCCGACTTCTTGTCTTACTCCAAATGATGAGCGAACATAGAATGGACGCGTTACATCGTGTTGGTCTTCTTTACAGATACTACCGGGAGGTCGAGTACAAGGGCGACACGTTCATCGAATTGCAGGATCTGCTGTTCGGCTTCAACGATCCCCACGTGATGGACATCAAGATGGGCACGCGGACCTTCCTCGAATCCGAGGTGTCCAAGACCACCGCCAGGCCGGATCTCTATCAGAAGATGATAGCCGTCGAACCGGACGCGCCGACTCAGCCGGAGCACGAGCAGCGCGCCGTAACCAAGCTACGGTACATGCAATTCCGCGAGCAACAAAGCTCGACCTGCAGCCACGGGTTCCGCATTGAGGCGATGAAGCTACCGGGCGCGCCACCGATCACCGATCTCAAGAAGGTCAAGTCGCACTCGGAGGTGCTCGACACCATCAGGCAGTTCCTCGGCAGGCGTGAGGACACGCGCGCGAAGATCCTCGCGCGTCTCAAGAACCTGCGAACCAAGATCGAAGAGTCCAAGTATTTCGAAAACCACGAGGTACGTCGGCTTTTGTGTGTGTGTGTGTGTGTGTGTGTGTGTGTGTAAGTAAACCTAACTTGAATATTTATCAATTTTTTTCGGTGTTTAATAAAGAGTGTTTTTACGACTGTTGATCAAGCACTGTCTGATTTTTTAGGTAATCGGTAGTAGCATCTTCATGATTTACGATTGCGAGAAAGTCGGTGTCTGGCTGATAGATTTCGCGAAAACACGGGAGGTGCCGGACGGACGGAAGCTCACGCACAGGCGTCCTTGGGAGGAGGGCAACCACGAGGAGGGCTTCTTATTCGGATTGGACAACTTAATTTCGACTATGGAGGAGGTCCGTCTCCGTCCGTGAAAGCTCCCGGTCGAGATGGAGCTCGTTCGATTTCCCCGCATTGTAATCAACATTTACTCATGTGCATCTGATGAGTGAAAAAAGTATTCGTGCTCCATCGCACATTTCCCCCTTGGTATCGAATCTGAGACACAGCACGCTCGACGAGACGAGAAGAGAGGTGTGTCCTGCATCCAGCAGTCACGCCGATGAAGCAAAAAGTGGTGCGCCAGTACTTGTTTCGCTCATTTGAAGTATCCTCTGGTCTTGTCGCAGAAAGTATACCGGCATTTTTCATCATTCTTATTTATGTCATCGTTATATATGTATATCTGTATTCTATTTACGTGTATATTGGTATTTAACATGGAAGACTGCTTTCTATTGCATTTCGCGAGCATTTTTATAAGAGACATCTCTAGACAAAGTTTGCAACACACATTACTATGTGTACAAACGTGTAATGTACAAAAGTAGCATTTAAGAGTAGCGTATAAGCGTAATCTAACGTGTAAGCAAAGCGAAAGTTATTTATGAGGAGTGCTTACGTCGGATAACAACGTTCTTACATTTTTTTTTTAAAGAGTACTCGTCCTCGATCGCTTCGTGTTTCACTTTGTAGTGGTAAATAAACAGTCTTCGTATTTGTGGAGATGAATTTCTTCATCTCTTGAACACCAACATGTCCTTCCATTTGCACGGAGTGCAAACCTGAAATCAGAATGTGCCACGTATCGAATTGTGTGAAACGTGATAGAAAGTTAAGAAACACGTGCCAATAAGCCAGTCATTCGCGATACGCGATTGTACGGAGAGAAACGTAAAATATTTGTCAAAAGCAACGATTTAGCGAAAACGACACGTCTCTCGTTTCTACAATTTCAACGTGCCGTCGGCAGATGTGAGCTAATGACACTAGTGAAAATCAAGTTTCGCGCACACACACACACACACACACACGTCGCTTCTCCACCTTATCTCAATAAGGAAAGAAAAAATCACGAGAGAGCACTTTGTCATATTGACAGGGTGATTAATCATTTAAAAAGGAAGTAGAAAGCGCACGCGCGCGGCCAAAGTGGACGCTCATTGGTCGTTCGTTACTGCTGAGTGTAATCGAGATTCACTTCGAGATCGATAATTATCAAAATTGAAAGCTCATGCTTACCAATCACCGCGGGAGGAAACACGACACACCAATTACTCGTGCGGAGCCAGGCGTTATCTTGATCGAGAGAGCTGACGCGTCTTGACAAATTGTTATTCACCGACCCGAAGAATATCTGGAGCTGAGCGGCTAACTGTTAACTTATGCAGCTGAGGTGTACCAATTTGCGGTAAGACAATATATCAATTGCACTTTGAATTATTCAGCTCGATTCGCCGCTATTCATCCCGTATTCGCTTTGCTCTCTCTCTCTCTCTCTCTCTCTCTCTCTCTCTCTCTCTCTCTCTCTCTCTCTCTCTCTCTCTCTCTCTCTCTCTCTCTCTTTTGTTACATCTTGAAGATCCATTGTTGTATACATATATTATTGTATTCTTTTTTTTTTTTATTCTCATTCCGTTCCGCACTCAGGCCGACATAATAGCGTTAACACGCAGCATTACAATTAGGTCGCTAATATTTTGCAGCCGTGCACCGAGCTATTACGCCGGCCTGCGTGTACGTGAGAAATGTCGGTAACCTTGCGGCAAAATTAACGTATCCTTTCGAACACGCCGCTTGAGTCGCGAACTTCGCGGCACACCACGCGAGCTGACGCGAAGCTGGCTGGACGCACGAGCTGTTGAAAAACATAAATCTCCGTACACAACCCCCCCCCGCTTCCTCCTTGATACTCGATAAAACGTGCGTAAGAATGTCGGCTACCGAACGTTCCGTTCCGCTCGAAGGAGTCGCCGATTTGAATACCCGGATTTCTTCTTGCTGATTAAAGCCCTTGCCCTCGCAGATGCTCGAGATCCTCCTGTTGTGTCGGCGCCGCGTTATCCGAGTCGAAAATAAGAGCGAGAGGTTAAAGCATCAGTCGTAAAACGTCACACGTCGACGTTCGATAGCTCGGACGAGCGAGAGTGGCGAACTTCAAGCGGTCGTGCCGCGAGAAATGGCGCCAACGCGCACGCACTTACGTCAACGGTCGCGAGTTTACACACATTGACAGGCACGACCTGCGACGAGCCACTTTTGCAAAAATAAACAACACGGAGAGCCGCTGTAGTAAGTTCCATATAACGGCGCGAAGCGATAGACTGAGAGACAGAGAGAGAAAGAAAGCCGCGGGCGATACATGCGAGCGACAGAGAAGTGCGACGACGACGACGACGACAACGACGACGACAACGACGACGACGACGACGACGACGACGACAACGACGACGACGACGACGACGACGACAGCGGCGGCGGTGGTGGAAGAACCGATCGCGCCGCGTGTGGAACGTGTGTGCGCGGGAGCGAGTGAGAGGTAAAGTCGACTTGGCGTTACTTGGACGCCCATGTGCTCCAGCGAGCAGGACTGCTGTCCTTTCGCGCGTCGCTAGCCGCAAAATTCTCACCGATAATGCCCGCGCGGCGATTACGTCGACGTGCCGGCGGCAGACCGCGGTAGACGGCCGCGCGAGACCGCACGTTACGCCGCAGATCGTGGATCGCGCGCCCGGCATCACGCCGGATTCCCCGCTGGGAGATCGCCGGAAGTCCCGAAAAAAATCCCGCCACCGAGATCAGCGTGCGACAGCCAGGGAGTCGGAGGGGTGCGAGCGGAGCTTCGGCGACGCGCGAACGGCGCTTGCGAAGTTCTGCGCTCGCCGGCGGGACAGAGGAGCGATCGTGAAGTGCGAGGACGAGGATCCTTCGCGCCAGCACGGCCATGGCGACTTCCCGGGACCTGGAGAACGACTGGTCCGTGCTGTGGCAGTACAACACCGACTACTGGACGTACGCCGGTGAGTTCTTGATGTTGCTCATAGTAAACGCTGCTAAATAAGTCTGCGTCTTTCCGGTCTTGTGCACCGAGAGAGAGAGAGAGGGGGAGGGGGGAGGAGAACGGGGGAGATCTCGGCTCGTGCAGCTGACCGGAAGAAAATTCGGTGGCGAGAGATCATCTCCGCGATATTCCGAAAGCATTCGTCCCAACAATCGACGGAGTGGAAGTCTCCCAGAGAAATCCTTCCGAGTATTCGACTGGCCCGGAAAAAAATTCAGTTACGTCGACTGGACGATTTTTTCCGCGTGATCCGGCCGAAAGGACTCGACTTTGAAGTCGAGCGGTTTGCGACATTTAGAATCGACGGGAACGTATCGTTGAGTGTACACGAAAAAAAAATGTAACTAGCTGACGGGAGGCGATATCATTGTCACGTCGACCGAAAACATTCCTTTGGCGTGAGATTCCATCTCGTACTTTCTTCAGGCCGAGACGTGTGCCGAAGTAGGCGACGACGTGCGCGTATGTCTCGTTCTACCCGGTGTCCCGAATTCTCGCTGCTGGGAATCGTAAGAACTAGCCGTCGCTTCGGCCCCTTCGACCGATCGAAAAGGTACGACCCGATGACACGACGGAATGATGTCACCGTCACAGCGCAGAACATTCGCGCGATAAAATCGGACTGTATCAAAACTCGGCAGCGATAACCGAAAGCAGCTTGGCCGAGTGGAAACTCGCCGAGCGAAGGGAATTGTTCTCTTGCTGCGACCGAGCTTTTTGGCCGGTAAAGAGAAATTAATTGCGCGAACGAAGCGGTTTCTGCTCGGGTACTCGTTCGCGGAACGGTCGAGTACCTTTATGTACTCGACGCATCCCACGATGCGAGGGAACCCCCATCCTGCGGTGAAACAAATCGCGCCTCATTAGACGTTGGCTGCAGTCCGAAGTGTGTCGAATAAAACGTGTCCGGGACGCATGCGCAAACGTATGTACATAAATTTGACTCGTCTCCGCGCGAATACGTATACAAACAGATAAGCAGCGACACGCGTACACCCGAGAAAGCGAGAGATAGCGTAAGTCCGTATTAAATAATCGTCGGCTGAAACTTTTGCCTCACACGAGACACTCAGGCTCGAGTTTAACACTCATCGGACCTTCATTACAAAACTCGAATCCAATGTCAGAGTGAATTCGATTGTTGCGAGCATAAATCGATATGCTAGTTTTACCTGTAAAATTTAAGTAAAGTAACGATGACGACGTTTTATAGTCCGATAGAGTCGGGAGCCAAAGGATGGAATTAATCAGGATTGCAGGAAGAAAATTTCGAAATCTTTTTTCCCTCTTATTTCTCTTTCTTTGCTTTCTTTGCTTTCTTTCTTTCTTTCTTCCTTCCTTCTTCTTCTCTTCTTTCCTTTACTTTTTTTCCATATTTATTGTATGAGAATCTTCTTACTCGTTATACCATTGTCTCAACTACTACTGTACACCAAAGAGGTCGGACCCGTATATTATTAATAAATAATAAATAATAATAATAATAAAAACGGATCAAATTGTCCCCAACTTCCGACGAGGGTTAAAGTCGGGCCCGGGTTGAATCACACGACACTCGTGACATTGCGGGATTGGCCTTGGTTTGACTGAATGGAAGACTCATGTCTGAATCTAAATTCAAATTCTCAGTATCTCGGATCGAAAGAAGTTTCAATAAGTTTCAATAAATGGCCATAGCGAGGTGATACGTACGTATCACGTCGGGAAAAAGCCGCAAAAGTCGTGGAGGGCTCCGATTCGTCCAATGCCGATTGGTCCAAGCGCGAATTACGAGCGGGACTCGTGTCGACTAGAGCGCGTAAAAGTGCAAAAATTTGTGTTACAGCGCCGAGTACGCGATATGAGTTGCGATACGGGAAAGGATTTCCCTTTTCCTCCCGCCGCGCCGCGCCGCGCGCGCGCGCGCGAACGAGGCGTCGCGGAGGAGGGTTGGCGATGAAAGTTGCCGTTAGGTGAGGATAGGATAGCGATATCGGTCGAAAATTTTTTTATTACGCTCGCGTAACCTAACGTAACGCCTTACATGCCGGCGTTCGGCGTGGACACGAGAGCGCGGCTCGTCCGGACTTTCTTCCCTCGCGAAAACTATGCCGCGCGCGCGCGCGCGCGGAATTACGTAAAACCGCCTGTTATTAGCGCCGAGATCTTCCCGCATCGACAATTCCCATTTTCGCTGCATTATCGCGCGCGAAAGTGAACATTCCTTCCGGCGATTTCAATTTCCCATCGCGACGCTGTCGCTTAGGTCCGCATCAACAAGTGTGAGTCCTCAGCTTTTTTTACCTAAGCTCCGAACTGCGGCTTCATTTCCGGCGGAAGACATGCCCCGCCGGATGTCGCGGTCTCTGAGCTTTAAGCGTTATTACGCTTTCTGCCGAAAATTCAAGCCTGCAGCGAGACTGAGGGCTCATTATATCAGAGCGGGAGAAAAGATGTTGACACCGAAATTACGTACAACCAGTAATTTCATTAACAGTACATTACTTAAAATTTGATGTCACTTGATTAAAAAGTTACGATTAATTAACAATATAATTGGTAGTAAATTACAAAATTTAATGTCACACTCAAATTACAGTTTTGATCAGAAACTTAATTAATTAGTAAATTAGTAAAAATTGGATGTCACTCAAATTACAATTAATTAATAATTTAATTAACAGTA